TCCATGTCTTCCTCTTCAGTGGACATGCCGTTATCAGAACAGCCTTCACTAACACCACTGTCAGTCTCTGTACTACTGGGGGAATCCCCTTTCAGACTGGCATCTTCATCTGCACCATTCTTGGGGCAGTAAATTTTACAGAGGTTACAGAATGTTATTTAAGATGCACTTTAACAAACTAATTAACAGGTTCCACTATCTCTTGCAATAAGCAGTTATTTTATAGCAATCTACCTTTAGTGAGTACAAGTAGCTAAACCTACTAATTATCTCCTAAATGTTTAGAATAGAATGTACTAGGTTGATGACCACTTACAGTTTTCAAAACTAAAGATGGAATTAAATAAATCCACTGAATTACCCGAAGCTAAAACAACAAACTTCCCAGCCCCTAAAAATTTCAATGCAGAGGTGACCACGGATTTCTTTTACTGACTTTCACTGGACATATCTGATACTTTAAATAAACAAACTCTTGTAAGCCATCAAAAGCCATATAATCTTAGTTTCCAATATGTATAATGAGTTACAAATCAATGCAAGAATTTCTAACCTCTTCCAGTTCTTCACTGATGAAGTATTTCAAGTTGAGATACTTTGGGAAAGTCATCCTATAAAAGGAGGAAATTATGCAAATGACCATGAAAATTACCAGCAACAAACAAATTGAAGACATTATTTACAACTGATAAAACTTGTTTTTAACAATGAACACTAACCTGTCATTTAGTTTCACTCTGTGGAGTGTTGCATAGTCAAATGCAAACCGCTTCAGTTGTAATGTTAAGAGATAAGGAAAGGAGATGAATTTCAACCCCTGTAGATAACCATCAATTGTAGAGTTAACAACACGATCATTTAGAAGCATATGAACACAGCATGAAGGTCACCTGCTAATGTACATTTATCATGTTTCATATGCGATAAGCATTGAGCTATCTGAACCTTACAAAGACAATAAGCCTGAACAACCACTCACGGCAGAAATGGAAAGGGGATATCAAAATCAGCTTTACAGTTGGGACATTCAAACCATGAATGCTTAAAATTAAATTAAATACTCTGACTAGTTAATATAAAGAGTAATCATTCTACAGTCACTGAAAACAATGTACAAGGAATGTCAAGTGTTAAATATTTACAAACAAAACTTATAGCACTAAAACAAACAGATTTGTACAATCAGAATTTGTACAATCAAAAAGAATGTGGGAAGAAAATTATAGAGAGATAAAACTTAGACTTATAGATAAAAAGATTGCAGGCTTACTTGTGAATACAAGTCTATTTAAGTATGGTACATGAGAAAACACTTGCCTTGTGCGCATCACATTTTTCATTGCACTTCTCACAGAAATACTGTAAACAAAGGAAAAAGCTCAATTATGGCTTTGCCATTTTAAAACAAAATCTGGAATCTGAAAAACACAATCATGTCCTATACCTGATTTGCACCTTCTAGGAGTTCTGCAGCAACAAAATTTTCCAAAGATGTTTCCTAAGGATGTAAAATAAAGTACATGGAAAGGAAAAATACTTGGTAATTACTTTTATTATAATTAACTTAATATACCATT